TGAACAACCTAACATTTGACTTATGGGTTGGTTCGTCGACACACCTACTAAACTCTGCCAGGAATTACTTTTGCAAGTAAATTCCACTACTCCCATGAACGTCAACAAGTGATCTGGTTTTTGGCCAAAGTTTGAACTCTCGGTTTGACCACACCTCCCCAACATATGCAACTTGCTTGGAGGAAAGTATCATTTTGCGAATAATTATTTTGTTGGTTGCTTTGTCCTCCTGCACAATAATTACTTTTTTCATTCCTTGAATGATGAAGCATCCACCTTCATCATTATGATACCCAAAACAAAACCGTAGTTCTTATTACTGCACAAAAAAAACAGTCTCCTTCATTACTTACTCCTTCTTGCGGCCTGAAGCTTCTTGTGTCTCCAACTTTTTATTCTACCGGTGATACCTAAAGTTGCCACCCGCAAAGACATTAAAGGGTTAACCCACTATGCGCCGTCACACACCCAACCCTCTAGTGGTTTGTGGATACTCCTTCCCCTCGCCTGAGCCTGAAGACCCGGATCTCAAAGTTTGGACCGTCACCACCGAGTCAGCAAAGTACCACCCCTGACGAAACAGGTCCACGCCAAGTTGATAACAGGGCCGGCTCGGAAAGCATACGAACCCCTGCCTTGGATGCTTCCTAGAGAGAAAGGGCAATCAAGCGGACGCGGACTATCCATATCGTTCTCCCAACACGATTTGAGAATTCAAAAAAAGAAAATAGAGTATGATATGGCTTAGAAAAAAAAAGTGAGCATTCGAAATAAAAAAAGTTAATCCTCAAGAAAAAAAATCAAATCTATTTATCTTCATTTATAAATTTTCTTTGATGGCACCTGTTGATATTATACATTTCAAAATACAAATGCATTTAACATGCAGACAAGAGAAAGGTAGGGGCAGGATAATCCTTTCCCTTTTCTTTAATAGGCAAAATCAATCTCTTTTTCAAACATCAGTTTTCACCTACCTGCACAGACCGCAAAGCAAAACAAACAAGTTTAAAGCAAACCAATGCAACCCCATATCCAAGTCACATTTTTCCATTCACATGCGAATACACATTTCCTTTGCCTTTTCAATGAACATTCAATATGGTCAAGCAAACGTGGGTTCACACATGTGTGAAGGGAAATCTGAGTCAATCAACTGACCTTGAGTGAAGTTTGAATCGGCTCACTCAAGAAAGCTGAGTGATATCCCAAATTTGAAAAGACGATCGCCATTGAAGTCCGAAGCATGCGGCTCACAACTCCTTCAGTTATGGTCATTCCACTGAAAGACGGTCCACGTCTAGAAGTTGGGCCTACCGAAGAGACCTAAGTGAGGTAACCTCAAAAAAGGATGTCCTCAAAAGTAAGTCTCACGCAATCCCAACGTCCCAAAACAACCCGCAGTCCCAGACCTCTTCCGATCACTTCATCCGACCTCAAGTTGATCCCACTTGGTCCCAAAATGGTTTTTGGTAGCCCCACACTCTTGCCTTCTACACCGGATGGTCCCAAACACCAACAACTCACACCGTGGATTGCCCCAAAAAATAGCAGCGGTCCTCCAATACCGAAAGCCGCAAGTGTCAGCACCTCAGTGGCCACACCACCAATACCACGTCACCAAAATACTACCGCCGTCGTGTCGTAAAAAAAACAGCACGACCCCACTGAAAATGTTGTTGCCGCCGTGCCAAAAAATGACAACACTTCCTCCTCAAAAAAACGTTGCCGCCGATCCAAAATTTCGACAGTATAACCCCTGGCGAACCTTTGTCATTCACTATGGAGTGGATAACACCTCCCCTGTTGTGTCATAAAAATCCGCCACCGCAGTGCCGCAATTTACAGCAACATGTTCCCTTAGGAAGGCCTTCACGACAACGCGGCAGCTCAACAGCACCTTCCCTTAGGAAGGTCTTCCGCCGACGCGGCCTCACACACTCGTCGTGGTCTCTTGTTGCATGATCCAAGCTTGTTGCAGCCCTGCAGCCGCAGCATAAGCAAGGGTGAGGCAATAAGCTCTCAGCCTTTGGCTATGACTACCTCTCCTCCACTCTCAACTTCCTTCATACCTTCACTACTTCCCCAACAACATCTCCTCTTTGCTTGCAGACCACCATCTCCCTCAACCTTCTCCCTTAACTCAAAATTCCAGCAAACCCCCTCAGCAGATTCAGCATTTGCTTTCCAGCAAATGAACAACATCACTGCCTCACAAAGTTTGAAGCAACTGGGGTCAGTGGGCTGCTTATATAGTTGAGAGAGGTGGTGGTAGCAACCTGAACCCTCAGCCAAAAATTCGAGCTCAGGCTGAGCCCTTGATCTCCAAGTGTGATCAAGGGCATCCACCTGCCCCACACAGACCAAAAGACCAAGTCCATCCATTAGAAAAATGACCTGGCTTCTTTTTTGATTTAGTGCAGCAAAGGGTGGTTGTATCCAGCCACTCCCTTGTTGATCTGCTATTGCTGATGCTAGGCCTCAACAATGCATCATCCCCCTAAGCCTGGCCAGACTCAGAGCCGGCTCCCTAGTTGGTTTGCTGCACAAAGTGCAGGAAACCACCTAAGAACTTGGCCCCGACAACGGCCAGGTGCACACGCATCCCCTCTTTTTGCTGCTTCTTAGCATCCTCATTTTCCTTCAGTTAGGAAAAAACGAGATAAAAGAGAAATAAAATAAATAATAAAATAAAAAATCCTCGTTTTCCTCGTGAGGACCAGCCCGCTTAGCAGCCAACAGGCGAGTCCTTTCACAGAGCCAAATTAGAGTCACGCTCAACAGGGTCTTCATTCCCCTGCCACGCCTGTATCCGGCGGACCGGCGCAGATTGGGCGCCCGTTTCAGACACGCGGCCCAAGAAAGCTTCCCCTTCCCTTTTCCCTATTGCGCTTCTTCACCAAAGCGAATGGGTGCAACCTCGGCTGATAGCGACGAGGGAAGGGGGAAAAAAACGTGAGGCAATGCATATTTCAATGCTCTAGCTGAAGATTCATTCCGATTTTGCTCTTCCTACTGATGGAAGTAGCAAGCCAGCCGCACAGTTGGAGGACTTACCTGCTCGGAGTCACGTTGCAGACACCGCCAGGTAAGACTCTCCTTCTCTCTCTCTCTCTCTCTCTCTCTCTCTCTCTCTCTCTCTCTCTCTCTCTCTCTCCAATCGCAATCGTCGCCGGCGACGACCGAGCTGTCATGAAAGCCCTCCGAGAGAGAGGCTCGAACGACGATGCAAAAATATTCGTTCGCCACCAGAAAACGACTCGCCCGTCCCTCGCAAACTGGAAACCACCTAAAGTGTGTGCAGAAAGTCTCTCGTAACTCAGTAACCCACGCCCGCAACATAGCCGTTTTGTGGCGACAAATTCATTCGATTTGCTCACTCCTCAAAGTCAAGTCACCGCGATCGTTTCAACGAACGACTACTCTCAGTAAAATCACAAATAAAAGAAAAACAAAGAAAAATTAAAGAAATAATGAATCTAAAAAGGAAATCTAACTAAAGAAAAATCTAAGGCAGCCAAACACATTCTGAGGCATGGTCATGCTGGCAAGCCAAACCCCACCCCCTTTTTCACTTGGTGGGGCATCGAGCCCTCTGGCTAGGTGTCCTGCCTTGGCCATCGTGCCGCCGGCCCACGCCCGGCTTTATCGTGGCTTCAAAGAAGGCCGCAGTTTTACGCCTGAAGGTCTTAATCATCCCTTATAGGCTCTGAATCGCGCGGCCGCCTTATTTTAGGTAGAATAGGTATATAATTATGTATATATCGTCACAAACAGAACTGCCCGGTAAACTGTAGGCAGGGAGAGAGAAGAGGACAACAAACGAGGGGCTGTGACAATTTTATATATATGTATATATGTATATATATAAATATATATATTGTCACAAACAGAACTGCCCGGTATATATATATATATTTTTCCACGACTGTACATCCGTGCAGCCCCACCAAATATGGGGAGAGACCGACCATTGCCGCTGGTTCTTGTCGCCTCTTCCAGATGCTGCAGGCGTCAAGTCTTAGGTTCAATAAGTTTTAGTCTCTCGGTCATAGGTCGGGTCTGAATAACCTTTCGGCAGATAACCCATCTCATCAAGTTATGAAGTCCGGATAACCCTTTACTAAGTCAGGCACCATCCGGCATTTTAAAACACCGGGCAGATACCCTTGTCAGGGTTTCTGCCCCGACAACGAGGGCAAGAGAAGAAGGGCAACCAGCAATAAGTGGCCCAAAGGAAGGACCCTCCAAGCGGGAGGAAGGGTTTGGGCCAACGCTTAGTCATTGGTTCGAACAATGAGTCAGTCTGATAAAGCATGACTGGATCATCAAGGCTAGAAGATTGATGTGGGCCAGGAAGGCAGTTACACCCCTAGACTTCTACAGTGACAAGGAATTGCAAGAATTTGTCAGAAAAAGAGAGGAACACAGGGCCTTCGACCTTCGGGGAAAAATTCGCCGAAAACGACACCACCTATTGACCACGAGTGCGAGGGGTCGACAAAAAGGGATGACGGATGAGAAAGCAAGCGGCAAAGGCCTGGTGGCAACAAAAGGGGCTAGGAATGAGATGCTGCATGACAAAAATCTTTTTAGCGATTGAGATGGTAGCACTTGACAAGTGTGAACAGTGTAGTTGAACAAGAAATAGACTAGCCAAGACTTAGAAAGACAAAGAGCGAATAATTATAAACTACGTGAGCTACCTTGAGAAGATTCTGCAGGAGAAGGGATGGCAAGGGACATTGGTATGAGACTAGCTGGGATGATTGTTCTTTTTGGACCTTGGGAAAGACAAAGATCGTATTTTGGAAAAGAGACTACGAATTTGGGTTGTTGAGCAAGACAAAGCATTGAGTATCAAGTCGGGTACAAGAGAGGTTACGAAAACTATGGTTAGAGGGGCATGAAGATGTCTCTCCCCTACGAGTCCAATACAACCAAGTCGAAGTCGTGTTGCAAGAGAAAGGTGTGAGAGTGAGCAAGAGTGAAAATGACAGAAAGGTCCCGCATTTTGATTTATGGTTGAACGGCCGGGCGGGCTAGCGCTGCCTGAGGATGAGAACCTCTGCCTGAGCGCTATACGCTAAGTCCGGTGTATGCATGAGATCCTTGTAACAACAATACCAATGTGGCTGCTGCTGGCAGTGTCTCCACACCACCACCAGCTCCTCTACCTTCATAGTCTACTACATCCCCTTTGTCAACTGCCTCCTCTCTGTCGTCCTCTTCCTCCACTTTGTATTGCTCCCCTTCGTCATCATCCTCGTCATCAGCACATTCATGGTCCGATCGGCCATCACAGAGGCCTTTTCAGCAGGACATTCATGGTCAGATCAAAGAGGCCTCTTCAACGGAGACGTTCTCCATTTGCACCGCCGCCTCCCAGACTGCGGCCTCGCTTGTACATGGACAACATGATCATCGCGACCCCAGCTGGGGTCAGAGATCTGCTCTGATGCCATGCTGGCAACACTACGAAACGACATTGTCCGCTCCACTACACACACAAGTGAGGAATAGTACATATCGAGTCCGATGTATAAAATTTTACAATGATTTTTACAGTGCTCCAGGTCTGTGTGTGCATCTCTGCAGCATCAGAACATGAGGTGCAACCACCTGTGCCACATTTGCAATGCCTAGTGACCATGGGAAAGACAAAGATTGTGTTTTGAAAAAGAGACTATGAATTTGAGTTGTTGAGCAAGACAAAGCATTGAGTATTAAGTCGGGTACAAGAGAGGTTAGGGAACCTATGGGTAGAGGGGCGTGAGGATGTCTCTCCCCTAGGAGTCTAATACAACCAAGTCGAAGTAGTGTCGCAAGAGAAAGGTGTGAGAGTGAGCAAGAGTGAAAATGACAGAAAGGTCCCGCATTTTGATTTATGGTTGAACGGCCGGGCTCTGAGTGCAAGTGCGGCTGATTATCTTCCGCTTCTTGCATACGACCCCCCGACTTCTGATCCACCTTGCCCCGATTGCTCCCCCACTCCAATTAAGAATGATCCACCCTCTAATCATTTGATGGAGCACCTGACTGCTAGAGATTAAGACAACCAGAGGAACCTGACAGAGACTGTCAAGACCGGAATGAACCTCCCCCTGCTGTGGAATCTGTGGAACTAAATGAACCTCCCCCTGCTGTGCACTGTAAAGGATGAAATGATCTCATAGTACTAGAGCAAGGCCACTGTCCGTACTATGACATTAATGTGTGTCTCCTTGCTTAGAATTGCGACCTCTATACTGTTTCTGATTTTGCAGACAGTCTGCTGGATAGAAGAGGAGCACCGTGCTGTCTGGGACAGAGGATGACAGTATTGCAGCTGGCATGAACATAGAAGTACATTTATGGGAAGACAACTGCAAATCCAGCCCGCTCCACAAATATATGCCTGACATGGACCCAAATATTTGTGCGTATATCCTGCATCCCCAGATGATTTCAATGCTGTTACCTTTGCAGACATTTCTTGGACCCTGCGGGATAATGGCAGCTATTTATTTCTGGGGGAGTAAATAACACGCTAAGCGGAGCGAGCCGGGTCAGCGGTACCCCAAAACCCGCTCCCGGGGAGGCGTGGGTGCCCAAAGGGTGGGCACACACGGCGGGAGATATTACGTATTTTTCTTTCTTTTTTTTTCACATCTTACTGTCACTCAGTGGCAGAATCTCACTCTCTGGCTGGTAAATCAGGAACTGAGGGACCGTATCTGGATGTGCACTTGCAGGAACTACAGCCTCCGGTAAACCATCCGGCTGAACCTCCTCCCTCTGCTGAACACCGCCAGCCAGCGTCCCTTCCCTGTGTAAATCAGATAGATTCTGCCATGGATAGTGAAGGGCCCCTCCAGCGGACGGTGGTGGTGCTATGCCGTTGTGTCTGCACACACGTACAGTTCAGTTAGCATGCACACAACACAATCTCCGCTCCGAACACCCTGAAGGGATGGTTACGGCCAGCCGTGTCTCCACACAAGTACAGTTCAGTTAGCATGCACACAACACAATCTCTGCTCCGAACACTATAAAAGGATGGTCACGGCCAGCCTCTGCCAGGAAAACTGCGACCATTGTCCTGCACTAGTCCCTCCCCCCCTCCTCTTTCATTGACATTGGCAGTTATCTAAGCATGACATGTCAAGGCCACAACAGGCTACCGTCTTCCCCCGAACATAACGCAACCTAAAAATGAATGTATTCAAGCTATAATTCCGGCCAGATACAGCCAAAATAAGGGTGTGTTGTGTTCGGGGGAAGACGGTAGCAGGTGAGGAACATGCCATGGGCCACCAATGTGGACTAGCCCTGATGCAATCACTCGCCACATCCTCTCCCTTCATGTCCCACATGCAACGTTGGGCATCTTCTGGCTGGACCCGTAATTGGATCTCGTCCATCCTTGCCAGATGAAGTTAAAAATACTCTCACATGAACCCTCCTACAGTGCGCTGTACTGAAAGGTTATTGCCACCAAGTGAGCTGTTGCAGACCAGATCTTGCAACAGCTAAACACCCTTACTTTGGATCAGGCCCCGTCATCGACTGCCTATAGAGGGAATATTGGCTGCAAAACCCCTAGAAACCCGCTCAATGCCGCACTGAGATGGCCCACCTGAGATTCAACCAGCATGTGATTGGCATGCTAAACGTTGTGAGCACTGTGAAGGTATAGCCCATGTAAGTCCTTGTTTTAATACATATATACAGCAAGCATTGTACTCATGTACAGCACCCTGACATGGCATGTCCTACCTGTAGACAGGGGCCGGAGCGCCGATGCCGGCATGCAAATGTTCTTAGCATGTAGGAGGCACATAGCCTGTGATATCTGTCTACAGCATGCCATTCAATGTAGCAACTGCAACTGCGAGAGCTGGATGCGGTACTTCTGCGATCCACACCCGAACCGGTCCTGTCCGGTCTGTAGAGGTGGCCACTTACCATAGGCAACGCCGGCTCCTCAATTCAAATTTCCTGCAACACAAACATTGATAGGCCCCTAGTACCGTTCTATATTAGTCTGCTCTGGCGATGAGTACTAAGAATGCATTACGGATGAGCATCACTAAGAGAACAGACAAAATATAAGCAACTGCAACTGCGAGCATTGGATGCGGTGCTTCCACAGTCCACATCCAAACTGGTCCTGTCCGGTCTGTAAGGGTGGCCACTTACGATAGGCATTTGGACCTTCGGCCTTCTATGTACCAGACAGCCGCCCCTCGAAAATCTCGGTGTATCTGTTTCATACAAGTATGTTGCGAATTGCCAGGCTCGCCAGAGTTGGAACATTTCAGGAAGCGTGGTTCACACACTGTTTCTAGAATAGTACGCATTACCTCAACACAACGCCTGCTCCTCAACTCAAACACTGACAGGCCCCTAGTGCCATTTCTATAATAGTCTGCTCTGCGGCTGATACTGAGAACCTTATGAAGTGTGTCTTTCCTCTGTTCTGAACTCCTCGGCTTGTGCAGAATGCATGACGAATGGGCATCACTAAGAGAACAGAGAATATAAGCCGAAGATCTGCTGAAAAATGAACAGGAGTGTACCTCCCCTTTTACTCTGCCTCCTTCCTCAGTGTGCAAGTGGGCCGTTATGGCACATGGGGATGTAGCACCAGCAAATGGATCCGCACATCTGAGCCTAAGCCCTCCTCCGCGCAAGCAAGGATTCAAACCGTCGACCTTGGCCTCAAGAGCCAGGCATCTTAACCACTACAGCCAGGACACGGTGTTCAAAAGTGGAACCATACTGGTCCTGATGTCCACCCCACACCGCTCCAAGGCTGTAGTGTCCAACTCAACACACACCGCACACAACACCACACAGACACACAGCAGTTCGCGTGCACCTCGCTGTTCCACAATCAGCACATAACCCTTTACCGCAGGTACTCCCTCCCGTCCACCATACGGGCTACATCCGCTCTCCCGCTGGTTAACGGGTGCTTCCAAAGCAGCAAATGGATCCGCACATCTGAGCCTAACCCCTCCTCTGCGCAAGCACGGATTCAAACCGGAGACCTTGGCCTCAAGAGCCAGGTATTTTAACCACTACAGCCAGGACATGGGGTTCAAAAGTAGAACCATACCGGCCGGCCGTGATATCCACCCCACCCTTGCAAGGCTGCAGTGTCCAACTCAACACACACCTTGCACAACACCTCACAGACACACAGCAGTTCTCACGCAACTCGCTCTTCCACAATCAGCACGTAACCTTTACCGCAGGTACTCCGTCTTGCCCACCATATGGGCTACATCCGCTCTCCCACCGGTTAATGGGTACTTCCACAGCAGCAAATGGATCTTCACATCTGAGATGTGGCAGCTTTTGCTCAACCACAATCAACATGGCAAGCCTTGTACATTAGAGGCGCAGTAAAAGGGGAGCTGCAAGAAGAAATGAAAAAGATCCCCCAAGGAAAGCCAAAGGTAAGATAGCAGAGAAAGAACTGTACAAGGAAAAGGCAATAAAAAAAAGGTTTTACTGCGCTCCATGTTGTCTAGTACAGAGGAAAAGCTGTTTTGATTATGGATTTGCTCATCTTAATGTGCTTCATTCCTTGCTATAGAGGTAAAGCTGTTTCAATTTTGGATTTGCCATCCGGGTCGAAAAGGGGTTCTTGTTCGGAACCTGGTTGCTTGTTGTCAGAAGACCAACACTCGCTCACATAGACTTTCTTGCACGCCCATACATACACAGAAGGAAGGGGAGAGGATAGGAGTATCACACCACACAGAGGGGAAGAAACACAGCGGAAGACTTGTCCGTGCGATATGACAGAATACACTGAAAGTGCAATTCGCTCCACAGAGTCCCCACAACCAGTCACAAAGGAAAGCCGAGTAGATCACATCCAGAAAACAATGAAGCAAAGATAGTCCACACACAGTATTCACACTCGTAATTGAACCCAGAGAATCGTTTCGCCAGAATAGTCTCAGAAACATGGTGTGCTGCTCAGGAATCCCCCAACCCAGAGTAACTGCTATCTACTACCCCGGAACCCCTGAAACAACCAGCGCCAGCCAGATACTGCCTCCAGTGGGAAGCGCCACCCTGAAACAGGCCTCTGAGGCCAAGCGCCTCTCAGAGGATGAAGAAGAAGACTAGCACCACAGTCTCTGATGAAGATGAAGTGCCAGATGACTTCACTAGCGAAGATCTGCAGTAGCGCCACCTTTCCTGACAAAGGAGATTTCTGAGGATGTAAGCTGCAGCTATGGCTGCAGCGCCACTACCCGGAACCCTACTCCTGAGGAGGGTTTGACAGGGCACCAACTTCCCGAACTCCCATCAGACCTCAGATAGCCCAGACCTCTGAGCAGCCCCACGTGCTGCCAGAGAACAGCAAAGGACCCAGGTATGGCCGACGCTTCGAGGGTCTGGCTATGTCTGTCTCCCTCAACGCTGACGTTGTCACCACTCCAGTTCACGCGTTGTGCAGTCGCGATCAAAACTGTATTGTGATGGTCCAGCCGCACCTAGCCTGCACAAAACAATGGTGTTGTCCCCAACTTTCCAGGGATGTTCTTGCCCAACGCTCTTCAGTGGCCGCACACGGATGGAGACACTTATCTTTCCTGTTTCCATATCTTGTTGTGTTCCACACAATGCAACTCGTTGGTTGGAACTTGGAAGTAGGAAAAATCTGGGTCGGAACTTGGAAGTAACAGAACACGGGCAGTCTGGACTGAGGTTCCAGCTGTGGTGAAGCATGCCCAATCGGGCGATCTAGGGGGGAGCCAAGGATCCGCAAAGTGATGAAATGGACTCGTATGCACAATGCATCGTCAGCCAAGCATCAGCAAGCAATGTACATCCAGATACCTATGGAATAGCACAACGTAGCGCAACGGAAGACTCAAGATATGATCTGACCTGGCAGATACTGACGCAACACCCCATCATACACCACACATGTGTGAGAGAGAGGAGGGACNGTAGCGCAACGGAAGACTCAAGATATGATCTGACCTGGCAGATACTGACGCAACACCCCATCATACACCACACATGTGTGAGAGAGAGGAGGGACCACATACATAGAAGAAAGGTCCCTCCTTGCACACACACATGGGGGGAGACACCACAGATGAGAGATGGGGGGAGGCGAGACGAAGATGGAGGCGAGGGAGAAGACCGAGATCGCTATAGCGAAGCCCAAAAAAATAGTCCCTGGCCGAGTGTCCAATCAATGTCTGCCGCAAAAAAAATGTTGAATCAGATCCTGGGCATATGCCCGTGAAACTTCTGCTTGAAGTCTCTCTCTCTCTCCTAAAAGAAGAAGAAGAAGAAGGAAGGAAGAAGGAGAGGTGGACGGTGAGAACCTCCTCAGTGTCTCACCTGCAGGTAACTGCTGCCAAGTACTGACGTCGCCGGCGTACGCTGTGCTGNAGGAAGAAGGAGAGGTGGACGGTGAGAACCTCCTCAGTGTCTCACCTGCAGGTAACTGCTGCCAAGTACTGACGTCGCCGGCGTACGCTGTGCTGCAGGTCACTGGAGCCAAGTCCAGCTATGGCGCCCAGGTACGTACTCGAACGCTGCAGGTATGGCCTCCGTCCTGTCTCCCTACCTACTCCTCTACCTCTAACGCAGTGCAGCGCTGTTGCGTGCGGTGCTGGTCCAGCAGCATGTCGCCCAAGAAGTGAGCTAGTCGAATTGTGTGTATGCCCAGCCGCTGCCCAGCTATACGTAGCGCTGGGCCTGCCTGGGCGTGCCTGATGCTGGCCTCAAACAGCCCACTCGGTCTGGGCCCCTACCGGGCGTCCAGACCATGCTGCTGATGCAGCAAGGCGCAAAAATGTGCCTGGCCTAAAAACGGCCTCGCTCCTGTGTACACAGCCCAAGGCGGACCCTTGGGGCCTGCAAGTCTGAAACGTCGTCTGCACAGACAAAAATAGGAGCAAATAAGTAAATAAATAAATGCTGCCTGTAGTCGAAACCTGAGGGCTGGGGCCCGCCGTGGGCCTCCAGGGCGCGTGTCTGATGGGCACGGGGCCTGGGGGCCCCTCAGCAACGGTCGGGCACCTGAAATCGGCGCGCCTCCCCTCCTTATGAAGTCAAGCCGGGTCGAGGGCGCAACTGACGATCGGAAGGTGGAACCCGGACGCGAGTACGATGTGAAGCCGAATGTACCAGCTTGCCTTGTAACTTGCGTTCGTAACGTGTGAGAAAATTGGCCGCTGTTGCCTGAAGTTCCGCACGGGTCAAGTTGGTCAACCAACGGTCAGCCTTATGGCTGCAGTAAGAGAAATGTACCAAGTACTCTGTCGGCGTGTTGCCATAGCCTCGCTGCGAGATGATGTCGCCAACCTCTTGAAAACCGTCCATAGAGGGAGGTTCTTGCGATACTCGCCCGGGAAAGTCGTCGTGTTTCGCTGGAGTGAAAAGCGCCAACTTCAAACAATGGAAGACCGGGTAGACGGGCAAGTGGGCGGGCACCTGAATGACAAATGAAGGTCCTTCGGGTGCATCCTCAGCGGGTGCCAGAATGGGCCAGGTCCCCATCCATTTCGGGAGGAGCTTGCGAGAGATATCTTGCTCGAGGCTGAATTCCGCGATGGACACCCATACGAGGTCGCCGACGCGGAACGGACAAGTCAGACGCTGTCGGTTGGCCTGTTGGCGCATACGTTGCTGCGTCTTCAACATCTGGTCGCGTGCCTTGACAAGAAGCTCTTGCATCTGATGAATTTAGAGAAGATGGTCGCCGCTCTCGGCCGCCCGTGGGATAATCATGTCCAACGGAGAAGTGACCGGCGAAGGGCAACATCCCGATAGCCGAATGGATAGACGAGTTGTATGCCAACTCGACATCCGGCAGCCGCTCAACCCAATCCTTTTGGTCGGAACCTCCATTGTCACGCGGGGATCCCCGTGGCCCAAGCCGGGGTAGGGGTTTCACCCCCGGACCCCCGCCGTGGAACTACCCGAACCCCGCCCCTGCCCCGCCCTTGTCTCCCCCGCTCCCAGCCCACACCCAGCCCACAGACCGCCCCCGCCCCCTGCACCTCCAGCCCCGCCCCCAGCCCCAGCCCCGCGGGGGGATCCAGCCCTTATCCAACAGATCATCGAGTTGCGCGAGCAGAACCGCGAGATCTTCCTCACTCATGCGATAGATGTATCCTTTCGGCGGCACGACACCAGCCTCAAGAATGATCTCGTGGGAGATCGACCGATTCGGCACCACACCAGTAGGAGACTCGAAGATGTCGGTGAACTCGTCGAGCAACCGCACCCCTCGGGGGTCCGAAGACAAGTCCGTAGGTGAAGATTCGATCGCCGCGACGGTCCGTAGAAAATATAGGCCTATCTTGTTGGGCCGCTCGTAACCGCAAGTGGCCCGAAAACACTTGGCTGTTACAACTTGGCACCGGATCAAAGGGTGCGGAAGAGGAATGGTACACAACACCTCGGCACCGAAGGCGTCGCCAACGGTAAGTGTCTGCCGATGGAAGTTAACCGTGTGATCCCCACTTGCAAGCCAAGGCATCCCCAAAATGATGTCGAAGTCCGTGTCCAATACGTCAAACGTCACCGGTTCGCATACAAGAGGTGCAAAATAAACCGGCACAGCTTCAATGTAGCGATCGAGGAGTTGTTGGGTCCGACTGTCCGCCAACTTGATCGCCATCGGGTTTGGCTTCCCTCGAACTTGTGCGCCAAGGCTGGCTCTTTGGATAAAGGACTGGCTGATGAAATTCCGAGTCGCGCCGCTATCCAGCAAAGCGCTGCAGGACGCTTGCCCAACTTGAATGCGGACATGAAGGAGCGGTGCATTGTTATCATCGTGCCGCTGCGTGCGAAACTCACGGGCCACCTTGCTAACATACGCAAGGATGGCCCCCACCGCCACTTCGTCATCCGTCGGTGAAGGTAGTGGTGCTGCATAGAAGGCTAAGTATGTGTGGAAATTGGCACATAATGCTGCACATTGCGGTCCCGGTAAGCAGCCTGTGGAAGGGAGAGGAAGCCATGCAAAATCCTCGGATGTCAACGGGTCCAAGACCTCTATGTTGAACTCGTGTGTCGAATCCCTTGAAGAACCACTTGAAGACGATAAATTGTTGCTGTTGCCGGACGGAGAAGAAGCCGCACACACATCTTGTCCTTGATCTTGAGAACCCAGCGAAGGAACGAGTCGGGAAGCGTAGTCCTCAAGAGAATATAAGAGAGGAATGTCGACTTCCGCATCTGCCTCGGAATGAAGAGAGGTTGCCCGCGAAGCAACTGGTTCCGAAGGCATCGAGAGTGCAGCCGCATCACTCTCGGCGATGCTCACTTTCCCGAAGGGAATTTGCCTTTGACTTGCATGAGGCACTTTGCGGTGTCGTGCACTGCACTATTGCACCACAAACAGTATTGGTACTTAGTACGGATGCGGTAAATGCCTTCCGAGACACCGTAGTGTGTCCAAGGCTCTTGAGCTGCTGGCCCAATCCCGGGGGATGAAGTTGTGTGTCTTCGGTTTGCCGTGCCCTTGCCCTTTGGCGTGGTGGCCACGATCCCAACGGGCTGCCAATCTGTCTCCTTCATCAGAAGAGGTAGCCTCGTTTGAAGGGTCGGTCGGTGTAGTTGCCGCGACCACGGCCACTTTCGGTCGATGCTGACCTATGCCCTGGCTCGTAGCGGACGAACGGCCCAAATTCTTGGCTTCGGTGTTCGTCACGATGATCTGCAAGGCTTTATCAAACAGCTGCTCACTTGTGGTGAGCGTCTCCACAACTTGCGTCAAGGCGTTCTGCAACGCCGAGCAGCTCCTCGTGATGAAGAAGTGTTTGATGCCTATAAAGGTCGACGACAAGTTGGGCGTGGACGCCAAGCGTTGGTACTCGGTTATCCAGTCCGCGCTTGGAGAACTGTTGAAGTTTCTTGGCTGCCTGCGGCCTTCCTTGCCACATCGGCGTCCTCCTGTCACTGCTGTTCAGCGAGGCGACGCTGTTCCTCTGCCTCCTCGTCCCTCTTCTTTCGTGCGGCTGTGGCCGCCACTGCCTGTTGCTTGAAATCCTCCACCATGGTCAGCATGCGGGCCTCATAGGCCTCGGGTGTCTCTCCAGTCTGCTGCTCCATGCCGCTTGTCTGTGAGCAGGTGTACACCATGTATTGACGTGACCTGCTGATGTGGCGTCTTACCAATGCCGCAGGCGAGGAAATAAAAGAGTGGCCCAGGTCCACTTGCCTGGCCGGGCCAAAAAGAAATAAATATATATATATATATATATATATCGTCAAATAGAACTGCCCGGTAAACCGTAGGCAGAGAGGGAGAAGAGGACAACAAACGAGGGGCTGTGACAAACTGTTTCGTCGGAGTTTCACCGACTCGTCAGGAGGCTGAACCCTCAACAGTCTGTAGAATCCCCTCACTGATTACACTGTAAGTGATAATCCACCTTAACCAAAATCAAATATATATCGTCACAAACAGAACTGCCCGGTAAAACCGTAGGCAGAGAGAGAGAAGAGGACAACACACGAGGGGCTGTGACAAACTGTTTCGTCGGAGTTTCACCGACTCATCAGGAGGCTGAACCCTCAACAGTCTGCAGAATTCCCTCACTGATTACACTGTAAATGATAATCTACCTTAACCAAAATCAAAGTAGACTATCACTCACCCAC